GACGCGTCATTGCGCCAGGAAAAGCAAAGAGCAGCCGAGGTAAACGCTCTGCCACACCATTAACGCCCGCAGCAAAGAGAGTCAAAACAGGTATTAACAGTTCATCTAGCCACGGAGCAGATTCAAGCTCCTCAACATCTCGGGGCGCCAGCGCCAGCGCCAAGACCTTTCTCGTCACACTACAATACACTCCCGGGCGCTCTACCTATGCCGCGCCAGCAACTTCCCAGCAACCTCGTGTCGCCAACACCCAGGGTTCCTCCGCTTGTACAACCTCCGAAGGTGGTCAAGTCAACACAGATGGTCAGCCCGGCCAGCCCGACACAGATGGTCAACCCGACACAGATGACCACGATACAGTCCTTGCGCCCCGCCCCTACTAGCAGCCCTTCCATTTGGCCCATCGGCGCGGGCGGGATCTGCCTGATCTGCAAAGGAAACCATTCCTTTCGTGATTTTAGTTGCGTCGATTTTAGCTCCGAAATCTCCCTCCGAATCGCCATCGATTCTCTCAGAGCCTATGTGGATAGGCCTAATATCAAAGCTTTTAGAGAGCTTTTAATTAACCACCTACGAAGAATAACCCCACGATGAAGCAGACCTTGAAGAGGCAGCCTCCAAGGGTTACAACCTACCGAAGAGTACTTACCGAATTACATCACCCGAAGCACACCTCCTCAAACACACCTCATTAAGAACGCCTCCGAAAAGATCTTGAAAATGCTAACATTGCATCTACCGAACGACACCTCTTGAATCGCACCCCCCTAATCACCCCAACCGCCTTGATTAGCATTGATCTTGATTGCCCATAGGTAGACTTGTTCCTATAGGTAGATACCTTTTTGCTGCTTGCATGTAGATAGTGAAGATGGCATCATCTTGTTCTTTACCTACCCTGCCCCGCCCTGCCCTTCTTCCTTTGCATCAGAAGGGCAGATTGATTAGGTAATGAATCCCCAATACACTAATGAACGAAATAAGAAAGGACATGTTCCTTGACTTCCAGTGACCAAGACATTTTGTATGTTTTTATGTGTTGTCAAACTGTATACAAGCCGTTTGTCACGTGGGAAACACAAGACAGAGCTGCAGGTAACCGTAAGACGCATCTAACCTTATTTGAGGTTTCTCAGCAAACGGTCGTGATGTTAGTTATGCGTGTATGTGCGTAGGACCCTGCGTGCCTTGTGTGTACCAGCTTGCTTCAACAAAAATGGTTTCAGCCCTCCTTTAAAGGGCTTGTTGCCTCTCCTGCCAAAACTCATCTCGCTTTTTTCTTGTATCATTTATTCATTAAACTCTCCGGTACAGTTTTATTAGAACCAGCCGCCTTAGACCTTGTTTCGTACTACGACTCTCCCGGCGTTGTTGAACCGGGTTCTCACACGGCGGTATAAATACGGCGCGTGCCCATTCTTCCCGTTTGCTCTCTGATTAGTCCTTTTTTTCTTTGATATTCTATTTCTCGGGTCAGGCAGCGGCCATTCATTAAATCTGTTTTCCTAACTGTTCAATATGGACACCACCAACACCTCCTCTTCCACCTCTCCTCCCCTCCCCACCGCTTCCGTCCCATGTCCAGTATCAGTTGTCAACTCCCCCTCCGATCTGTCTTACTACTCTTCCGGAGACTCCCACACCTCTACGAGAAACACTTCTCCAAATTCTGTTCCCGCTGTTTCCCCATGTCCTAAACAGAATTCACATTCTCCTCTTCTTGATCTCAATTTGACCGCCGATATAGAACACACTCCCAATACCCTGCTCGACTGCCCACCGACGAAGATGGATCGAAACCCGTTCCAGTCCGTCAACGAACGTAGAAACAAGATCGCCACGGACCGTAACCATGCCAACCAGATCCAACAATCGCAGCAGCCCTTCCAGACCCAAACGCTGAGATCCACCATACAACAGCTCAGCCTTCAGTCCAGAGGCCTCGCTTCTTCTAACTGGAGATCGCAAGCCGCTGCTGATGAGGCAGCAGCTCTGTCGGGTGGCGTTGCCAGCGGCAGCGACAGCGTTCCCGGAGCGTACAATCCGTTCGATCCTTCTTCTTCCGCTCCTATCGGCCACCCTATAAACTTGCAGACCGGATCCAACATCCGATCACACGCACTCCCACCCTATACAAGCCCGCGTATGGACCAGTTTCCCCAGCAGCCACCACAACCGTCAGGGATCATGTCTTATCCAAGCCCAGGTACGGTGTCGGAACTGCAGTTGGACTCCAGCTACGCCTACTGCTACGACAGAGGAAATGGCCAGTACACGCGTCTCATACCGGCTGATATGCTGCCGCCATTGAAAGATGTCCCGGCATTACAGCAGAACTGCTCGGGCATGATTGCGTTGCCGCACCCGAGAATGTTGCCGCCGAATGGACGATCGAGCAATACTGAGCCGGTTGCTCTTAGAGTTAGTTACTATTGACTTTATCTCCATTGGTTTATGGAGTTTTGCTCCGATTTGGTGTGCTAACTGGCTGCCTAGAGCCCTCCAAATACACCGACTTCGCCTTCCGATACCATCCAGGTGAGCCTAGATATTTGCTTGAACTCCATGCGTTACATCACGAATACAATATTCACATCACTTCCATATTTGAGTTCTATTAGCAGTTTTCCCTTCACTATACCGAAGATTAGTATACGCTGAATTAAATCTCGTCTCCGTTGCAAACGGATCTCCACATCATAAGCCCAAGCCTATCAAGTAACCCAAAACGCCTATCTACGTCCCACCAGCTGTTACCTGCTAGTAACCAAATATTCTCCCAGGCATCGCTGCTAACACACCCTCTATCGCCACAGTCCCGAATCGACACCATCGTCGCCTCCACGCCACCCACACCCCCCTCGCACCACCAGCCCTCGCTCTCCCTCTCCATCTCTTCCGGCGGCGGCGTCAGCGGTCTCGGTCCAGGCTCAACTCCTACCACTACCGCGACTCCCACCGCGCACCCGCACCACCAATCCCACCACAGCCACAGCCACAGCCACAGCCACGGTCACGGTCACGGTCACGGTAGTAGTCACGGAGGAGGGGGAGGTGGTGGTGGAGGAGGAGGAGGCCAACAACATCAACATCAACAACAACAACAACCGCAGCGCCGCCCAAAGATCTACTGCGACAAATGGGTCCACGAGGGCGTCTGCGCCTTCACCCAGCAGGGCTGCAAGTACAAGCACGAGATGCCGTTCGACAAGGTGACGCAGCACCAGCTCGGGCTGTTCCACGGCTTCCCCGCTTGGTGGAAGAAGCACCAGGCTGATCTGTCGCGGCAGCGGGATGGGCCGGGCCCGGGTACGGGTTCGGGTATAGGTATGGGTGCTGGAGGAGGGGGTGAGGAGACGGGTAGGGAGCGGTTTTTGGGACGCGGTGGAGGGGCTGGGGCGGGCGGTGGTGATGTTGGCGTCGGTGGTGGTGGTGGAATAGGCCATAGCCCGACTACGCCTGGCCTGCCGACTTGGCGGCGCAGCGGCGAGTTCCATGCTTCGGAGCAGAAGTCTTTGGGAGCGGGCCGTAGTGTTACGCGGGGCGTTGGATCTGGTGTGAGAAATCCCTTGGGTATGTTACTTTCCTGCACCCCCCTCCCGTATTTTCTTGAGATATGTGTTTGACTAAGTCTCCTGCGCAGTGTCCTACGGATCCCCATTCGGTCCTATCGCACCCCCTAGCCGCGGCTCTAACGCAACTCCGGCTTCGACGGCTGCGAATATGGCGGATTCTACTAGCTCGGGTCAAGCTCAGCAGACTGGTGGCGCGTTAAAGGCGGGAGGTAGTGTTCCAACTGCGAACCCGTACTCGTCCCTCGAGTCTCTTGAAGAGTCTAGTGGCAACGGTAATACCGAGGAGACTTCGACTTCTGTTGCGAGCTCCAGCGGGGCGCGTCTAACTCGAGGTACGCAATTCAAGGGCGACAAGTGAAGCTTAAGCAACACTCCCCTGAAGTCTTGAATATTCCGTATTGAAAATCGGCTGTGGGACGCCAGGACAGTTAGGTATTCACTACCACGCCATATTCTCTTACTTTATGGAAACATCTACCTATCCCTATACATACGAACCCTTCCTTTGTCATCTCATGTATTCCCTCCTGGAGGACTCCATCACGACTTCGACTCATTCACACACATTGCAGGGGTTCGTTTTCATATTCTCTTTTTCGGCTCAAAAAGGTTTTTTTTAAAAAAATTGTCTTTTCCACGCTATGCGGACGACGACACGACTACGACTTAGAATGATCTCACGGGCGGGTGGCAACATCTCATCACATGGCATATTGGCTAAAGTTCTCACGAACATGATTCACGAACGGTACATTCTGGTTTCTCTCCAGGTATTTCCGAATCTTCCATCGGCGTTTCGTTTCCATCTGCATGCAGCTCGAAGAGAAAAGTTTGTTTTTACAAGAATGGAAAGGAAAAGGAAGGGAAGGGAAGGGAAGGAAGTGACAGGGCAAGAAAAAGGGGACCACAGCGCCAGTGCCATTGTATAATAGAGTAGCTTCTGAGGCATGATGCAAGATTGGCAGACAGACTGATACAAGGGCTCCAGCAATGGATTAAATATGACGTGGTATTTCGGTTTCTACATACAGAGTATGGCTAGGTTAAATAGTTGCATAACTTGGAATTCTTGCTTCATTTTTCTTGGTTCATTTCCACTGTCGTGGATTTGTCGCTATTGATGGAAATTCATATGTGGTTTTCTCGCTGCCTGACACCATTTCCCAGTTTTACGCATTCTTGGTTTCTGGCAGTCCGCTCTTGACCAACATGGAAGAGATAATAGAGAGCAGTCTACGAATCTTCCAAATTTGGCATGACAATGGTCGGGCAGAGGCTCCATCGTTAGTACCTAGTACCGTTTCGTCTCGTATGTATTCTTAACTTATTAAGCGGTGAGGTCTGGCATGTTTTGAAAAAGCCTATAGTATGTTATAACAGCAAAAATTTCCTAATCGGACCCGCAAAAGTGGATCTCACGATGTAGCCCGACTAGCTCACCGGTAGAGCGCCTCACTAGTATCTTCCATTTACGAGATAATGAGGAGGCAACAGGTTCGACTCCTGTGTTGGGCATATCATTTGCTTTTTTTTATGTTTCATTGGCAGAATTTGTAGGTAAACCCGTATGAGAATAGAGTAGCAAATTATCAAAGACTTTGGCTAGACTGACTATCAGGAGTAACTTGATTGATATGCGTGGAATTAATTCAGCTTAGTAGATGACGTAGTCTCACGTACAAGGCCAAAAGGACATGCGAGTCTCATAGGCTCCGGCTACATAATAGGCAGGGGAGCAAGGAATTGTTCCGATTGCCGTATTTGAAACATGACAATTAGCCAGAACGTCGAATAGGGCCAGCAACGTACCTTATCCTCGGGTGCACGAACACGTCAGGAGCCTCGCCGTGACGTACTTGTTATAGGGAGGGCACCATTCCTGCAGTCGGAATTCTTCCGAAATTGAAGTATTACCTTAAGAGCTTAGTTTGCCGTTTGACAGCATACAATCGGGACTCTTTTAGCGATCTTGTTGCCGTATATCCCCCCCAGATGCACAAGAGGTAGCAAGCCTAGCTACCACTGACAGTTATACAGTATCGTGGGCTGTACATTCTTCAACTTCTCGGAGAGATAGGCCGATGTCCCACGTAAAACTCAGCATTTCACTGCTTCAAATAGTACGGGACCATACCGTCGGGTTCACCCTTGGCACACAGACTTCAGGGTACATAGGTACTTTTGTCAGAGTCCCCACGAGTTGAGAATGTATGTTGCATACATGTATTCGCTCAACGGAAGAGAGATCCGGCTTTAGTTCCAATAATAAATTACAAGACGACTACGAAATAGCCACTCGTTATATTTTGCTTACATTGGTAGAACATGTGAATCCACCATTCACTCTTCTTGAGTCGACTTTAGAGTTACATTTTTTCCTTGCCTATTTAGGATTGTGCGAGACCCGTGGTTGGTGGAGTTGTAGGCTGTCTCCACTTTACAAAGCCTTAATTAGCATAATAAGGAAGACAAGTAACAGATACCTGCTTTGAATAAATTAGTAGATGATGAAACCTCGAAGGGTCTCGTGATTCGTTGGTTATTCTATGTGTGGTTCATATGTGGAATGCTTTTAAAAGCTGTTTAGAAGTGGATTAGGGCGGTAGCTGTCGCCGACGCTAAGAGCTTGGCCATGGCGGAGGCGCATCAGTGTTACACAAATTCTACGTGGCTACCTTTCGAATTTATCTTAGCGAGCTTAAACCACTTCCTTTTAAATTCTTTTATACCTTTTTAGCCATAGTTAGTTTTAACTAATTAGAATTAATTATAACCTTTATTAATAAATTTAAAAGTTATAGTTTAAAAATATTTTATAAATTTTTTTTATAAATAATATACGTTAAAATATAAAATTATAAATATTTTACTTTTTATTATTTATATATATATTAACTTAATTATTTTTTATTTATTAAATTATCGTATATTAGTTTTAATCTTTTACGAATTTTTATAATATTTAAAGCTTATTTTATTTTTTAAATATAAAAAGTTTATTATAATTATTATTTTTTCTTTTATTTTTTTTAATATATTAAAATTAATAATAAAAATAAAGTTATATTATTTCTTATATTTAAATTATTTAATTTATTTAATATTATATTTATTATCTTTAATAATAATAAAAAAGTAAAAAATAAGGAAATAAAAAATAAGGAAAATAAAGATAAAAATAAAAATAAAAATAAAAATAAGTTTAATATTATAAATATAATAATTAAAATATAAAACTTTTAATAAAATTAATAAAAGCGTAGCTTTACGTTTAAATATTTTATAAAAGGTTAATTATTAATTAAAGTATTAAGTAAAAGATTTATAAGTTATTAGCTTAAGTAATTTATTAAAGTGTTTAAAAAGTTATTTATTAAAAAATACCTAGTTATATTTAAAATATAAATAGTTTTTAAAAAGAAATAAAAAATTGTTAACTTATTTACTTTTTATAAAAAGTTTTTTTAGTTAATAATAAAGTTTATATTTAGCAAATTTAATTATAAAATATTTATTAAAAATAATAATCATTTATATATTATTTAAGATATTTTTAATATAAGTTAAATTAAAAATAATTTTAAAAATACTTAGTTTTAAATATTATAAACATTACTTAAAATTATTATAACTTTAAAGGATATTTTTATTAATTAATAACCTCGCTTAAAGTTAAAAAATATAAATAAAAAATTTACTTTTTTATATATAATTAAAACATATATAATTATTATGTTATTATTAAATACTTATATATTTACTAAGGTTAATTTTTTACTTATTTTTTTAAAAATATATTTTTATAATAATAAAATATTATATTAAGTTATAAAAATATTAGCTTAATTTAAAATTTACTTTAAATATAAGTTTATTATTTAATAAATAAATATTATAACTTAATAATTATAAATATATTTTAATAATTTAAGTTTTATTATAATATTAAAATTAATATAAAATATAATATAATTTTAAATATATTACTTATAATTTAAATATTATATTTATTTATAATAACTTTAATTTTAAAAATTATATTTAAAATTTAACTTTAAGTTATAAAAACATTATATAAAACCTTATTAATTATTTAATTATAACTAATTTTAATATTTATAGTTTTTTCTTTTAGTTATAATAATAGCTAATTATACCCTTTTAATAAAAGTAATTAACCATTTATTTTATACCGTTATTTAAGTATAAGGTTAAAGCCTTTAAATATTTAATAATTAACTTTATTTAATTAGTTTTTTATTCTTTTATTTTAAATAATATTACTTTATTTCTTAAAATAATTAAGCTTTAATATAACATTAATTATATTTTATAAATATTTATTATAAATAAAAATAAGGATAAAATATTAAATATATACTAAGTTTATAATATATTATTTAATATATTATTAAATTATAAAGAATATAAAAAGTAATTAATAATAATATATAATAATTAAAAGTAATAAATGCTTTTCGTTTTTACCTTTTTTTATATTATTTTAAATTTTATTTAATTAATATTTTATACTTTTTAAAATAAGTTAATTAAAAAAAATATATAGTTTTTTAAATAAAAGTAACATATAAGCAAAAGTTTTATTAAATATTATCAAGTTTTTTCCTTATTATAAAATGCTTTTTAAGCTTATATTATTGCCTTTTTAATTTATAATTTTATTAATATTAATATTTTATTTAAAAGCAATATTAATATTAACGTAATATATAAAATATTAAAACATATTAATTTTAAAAAGCTTAAGCAAATATTATTAATTATATAAGATAAAGTATTTAATTTTAAGCTTAAATTAGTAAATATTTATAAAATTAAAAAGCCTTTATTAATGTTAAATTTTAAAGCTATTATTAATATATAATTATAATTAGTTATATATTAATAATAATTATTATAATATAACTTAATAATTATAATATATTTTAGTAAATTATATCTTAGTTATTTCTTTTCTTTTATAATAAAAGATTAAATAATTATAGCTTAAAAATATTATACTTTATTTGGCTTTTTTATTTAAATGTTTTTAACTTTAAATTAATTATAAGTATTTTTTAATTAAAGCTTATTTAATATATTATTATTAAAAGTAATTAAAAGGTTATTAATTTAGTTTTAAAATATATTAATAATAAATTTATTATTAATATAAAAAATAATAAAAACTTTATTTATAATATTTTTATTATTTTTAATTAATTATTAATAATTAAGTTATATATTATTACTTTATATAAGGACTTAAAAATTATATTTAAATTTAATTAAAAAGGCTAATATTTAATAGTATTTACTTAATAAAATATTATTAAATATACTTGTAAATTATATGTTAATAATAATATTAAAAGAAAATTAAGTTATAATATAATGTTTTATATTTTATTTAATATATTAAATATTTTATATTTAAGGGTTAAGTAATTAGTAAATAAGAAAATTAATAATTTTAATATTAAGGTAATTTAGTTTATTTAAATTTTAATATAATAAGTAATATTATTTATAGGTTAAAAGGATAAATTTATTATTAAAAGCGAAAAAAGTTAATAATTATATAAGTTAAATTTAATTAAAGGTAATAAAAATAATAAGAAATATTAATTATATAATAGCGATATAATATTTAAAGTTATTATATTATAAAAATAATTAAGTAAAAAAAATTATTTAAGTAATATTTTTTTATAAATAAATATTTTATTATAATTTTATTACTTTATTTTAGTTTATATATAGTTAATAACTTATTAAGAAATAAATAATATTTAACGTTATTAAAAAGAGAAAATAATAATTAATATTACTTTTTCAAGGCTTATTTAAGCTTATTAGCCTTATAAATAGTTAAATCTTATTATATTTTTATAAAAAAGTGATTTTTAATATTGTTTCACATTAAATATTATAGTTTATTTAAAATATTTAATTTAAAAAAAACTTAAATTTATATTATATTTTTTTAAAGGTTAAAATTAAAGTTAAGCCTAAGTTATTAAGTTAATAATTAATTTATATATAATAAATATAATATATTTTAATTTAGCTATTTTAAAGGAATAATTTTACTAGTTTTTAAGTTATATTTTATAGCTTTTATATTTACATTTATATTAACTTAAATTATTATATTATTATTACTTTTAAAGTTATAAAAAAAGGTAATTAAAAAGCTTAATAAAAAGTTAAATAAAAAAGGCGTTTTAAATTAAATAAAAAAAAGATAGCTTTTTTTTATAAGTAATTTATTAAAAATAATTAGCCATTAAAGCACGTGGCTTATATTAAGGCTTATTTAATTTAAATAGCCTTAATTATATAATTATTATAATAACTTTAATTTAATAATTATCCCTTTTACACTTATATTTATTTAATTAGCTAATTTTAATTCGTAATATTTAATGCTTACTATTAAAGTTAAACTAGTTATTTTCTCATTACCTTAAATTTTTCTAACTTATAACAAACTTAAAAAAACATTTTTAAAT